ATAATAGTTTAGCTGTAGTATGTATCATGCTGCTCGAATAAAAATGTACTTTTGTCTTCATTTGATTAATAAACTAATGATCTAGCCTGGCTATGGGTATACAAAAAAAAAATAAATACTGTAAATATAAATTAGATTTAACAATAATAAAACTATGAATTACTATATACAGTATAACACTAAAATTATTTGTATTTTATTTAGGCAAAAAGAAACATTATTATTTTAAAGAATCTCAAATTGTATAAGTTTTATACCAAATATATTTATTTAATAACTGTATTTAATCTAAAAAAATTTTTAAAAAGATTATCGATTTTTAAAGGGATCCGAGTAATTCCGATTAATCATCTGCTGGGACGAAATACGAAATCTATAGATTTTTATTGACAATTATTGTTCCCTATACAAATAATAGTGATTTTACTTTCTTGTTCGTTACTATTTGTTTACCCCCTTGGTCACCCTTGTGTACGCCATGCATAAAATTACATTATATGCAAAGGATCTTCCTTATAAAGTGTGTACCGTTTTATTGGAAGACAAATACAAAAATGTATGGGTATGTGTAAAAAGGAACAGGAGGGAAGACAGAGAAATGATTAAGATGTTCGGTTATTTTTTCAAAACGATAAAATTGCGCATCATGGGCATGTCAAACTACTCAGAAATTTATCAAATTGAATGTAATATTGTCCGGGCTCAACCCATCTACGGCGATGTATTCATTCTACTTACCAAGTAAGATGTACGAATAGTTTAAAGTTATAATTTACCGAATTGGTGGATGTACGGTAACTCGAGGAAATCAACACAATCACCAGCCGTCCTTTATTTGATAGTAAAGGTTGGTTTCTTCCACTGAATCATGTGTGAATGTAGAGGAGAATGCGAGAACTTCTTCCATTGATGTAAACTTGAGGATTTCACAATTATTCGGGAAATAAGTAAAGAGCGCACAATTCGGTCGTACAAGTAGATAAGAAAGCGTGCAATTTTGGTATGCATCCGTGCCATTATAATATCCTAGAAAAAAAAGAGCCATTGTAATTTCCTCATTTGCTTTTAAATTGGCTTTCCTTATCGGCGAAATGTTACAAAATAATAGATATTGGCTTGGCAATGAATGAACCTCCTAACATGGCAAAGTTAAAAGATGGTGATTATCAATCATGAGATATTTTTGGACGGTCTTCTTCCATAAAATTTCTCGGAACAGAAACCCATTAATTATTATCATCATGTTAAATAGGTGGAGGTTGTGATGAAGCTAAATATTGGTTAACACCTTTGTTTATTCATGAATCTTCAAATGAATGCTCGTGATTTCCTGCAAAGCTTCGAGATTGTGTTCTCAGTTTGGGTTTATTGTTCTCTCGCTCGATTTGAAGAGAAAGAAAAGAGGAAATGTATTTTTGTCATCATATTTTCATAAAGTTATGTCATTGACATGAGCTAAAGTCATTTTAAGTTAGAGACAAACTTTTAATTGTGGATCAGCCGATACGTATAAATTTGGAATCATAAAAGAACTAGTCCGTTGATCTTCAAGGTTTGTTGGTTTCATCATTAAAAGCTTTCTTTGTTCTCCAGTGTTCACACTTCCTACAATATCTCTTTTCGCATACAGAGTACAATTAGGTTCTACGAACGGTAAACAAATATTAGCCACGTATTCCAATATTCCGTTCACGTGAATTCTATATTGAGGCGAAGGCTTATAAACAAAAATGAAGTCCGGCCGGATCTTAACGGGCATTATTAGGCACTTATGGTCAATAATTTTTGTCAAGTAAATATTTGGTTGCTTTTTTTTAATTCTCTTGGTACGTTCCATCCTTTGGTAAATAAATTTCGTCGATCTATACCGTAAAATCCAGTAAGGAAATTTCTATTCCATCTCTGAACAGATACAGCACTGCACGTGGAAAAAAATTTATATATATACATGCGTAATCGGAGATTCCTAAATATGAACTCGGGGTGCATGATGTAATGATAAAGTGTTTGATGATAACGATGATGATGTGCATACACATCAACGCCAGGGAACGGAACAGCATAATTCACATAGTCAGATAATGCGTGAAACCAATGAATATTGTGATTGTGTCATAGCGCGCAATTACCAAATAATGTCGGCCTGTTCATATTATTGCAGTTGATTAATCTGGGAAGAATTCAAAGTCTGGCCACCACATAAGAACAACCGGTATCCTTGCTCCGTAGGCGAATAAAATCCGTAAAGTCGCAAGATTATGTAGTACGTATCTACTCACGTACATAAGCGGTATCAATTTAGACCTTCTCGGTGAGAGTGAAAAATGCAGGTTTGACGAGATGAAACTTGGGGAATAAATCTTGGATAAATTAATTACGTAAAGAAAAAAATTTTTTTTATTACAAACAGGTTAAAATCTGTATGCATAGTAGCATGAAGATTTCAGGGCAGAATCATATTACGTAAGATCAATTTCCTAATTCATGTATTAAAACCCCATGTAATATGCGACCGCGTAAAAAGAAGCCTGCGAGTAGAAATCCGGCGTTCTTTCTAACCCCACTTTCACATTTATACAAGTTATATTTGGAGGGGCCGTGAACATTCCTTTTGAGTTTTGTAAACGTGTCATGAAAAGAATGGTTTTTTGACACATGCTACGTTTATGTTCATAAGATAGATTATCGTGAAGGTATCAAGTCTTTTTTAACCACCATTCGCATATAGAAAATATTTACGACAATACGCACGGATTAAGTTCACGGAGGGCACAGATCGTGGTTATGCAACACATCGCTGCCAACATCCTATCGTTATGGTCACACGCTAGAAAATCCTGCATACATGTATCCGTATGCGCCGTGTTAACCGGTAGAAATCTTACTACTGATCTTATTTGTCTCGCGCATTCATCGGAAAGAGAAAGAAATGATAACAAGTTGGAGAATGCATTTGGTGTCATTCTTTGATCGCATCCTGCTGCAATGACTTTAGGGTTATCGCCCTCTTAGGAAGCAACTTGGCATACTGTACTGTATATACAATACGTACATGTATATGGTTTTATAGTATGCACGGTTGGTTGTATTTTCTTTCGGAACTTCAAAACTCTCGATTCAACCACGACCTCCTGACAATAGTCTCAAGGTGAGAAAACTCGAGATTACTCGTTCAAGAGATTGGGCTAGCACGTATCCACAAAACAAATGTACACGCGCTCACGTCAAAGCAGAAGGTGAACAACGCAAATTAAAATTGGATTCATTAATTGTCATCATGCAATGCGCACGTTAAGATCAATAAAAACAAAGGCAAAGTTGGAAGATGGGTCGCGATGAATGTTTTGTTATACGACAGGTCGTGTTGTTCGGTCATCGGTAATTCAAGCTCATGTACAATGACCGCAAATTTTTTGGCCTAGGCGAACTATAAAGGTGGGTGGACGAAGAAACCGACCTGAATAGGTTTTGCCAACAATGTTTGACGTTAAAATGCAAGTTGAAAGAATAGGATCTCTTCAAACGTCCCCATTGTTCACTCTCTTCTTAAACAATGTTATTCATTATTTGTTAGTGACATTAAATTATAGTCTAAATTGGCATCAAACTATGTGATAAAGTTTATGATAAGGTAATGAATGATACGGTTTTCATTGTGATTAATGGAATGCACCATATTCGCTGTGTAAAATTTCTGATAAAAGCTACGATTACAGGACTGACCGAGTTGAAAGGGAATTAGAAAGAGCGACCAAATTAAGAAAGTCCATTTTAATCTTAAAATAACAAACATATAGTTTCTCTTCCACTTCCTCGTAACCATTCGAAGAACAAAAAGCACGCACATACATATTTGTTATTGAGACGCATGTATCAGGCAGTATTGGCATACCACTAACAACAGTCAATGTAACATTGCAACAATAACATCGATATACTGTAGAAGCTGGGTATAAATTATTGTTTGTTCACGGTGACACGGAACAAGACGTTCTTCCAACTTCAAATATATTCTTATCACCATCATGTTCCTTTTACATATCGAACTTCGTTTATTGTACACCATTGGTTCTTGTGTACAGTATACATGCAAGTTAACTTACAATAGCATGTATATTTATTTGGTCGTAATCATAGGGAATAAAATTTGGTAATAACTAGTTAGCCCCGTACTTCATTCCTGCCGGTCTTCACACACAAGTTTGTCTATTTACCTTTTTCTTTTAGACCACAAAGTAATACGCTACCCTTTATACCATCATAATAACAATACTCAGCCTCCTCTATTAACAATATAAATAATTTTTTATATTAATAAGATCATCAATTCTTCCTGCTGTGTCGATTTTTTTCTTTTTCTTGGCTTGGTCTTTTGCTTGTGGTTCGCTGTATGCGTTTTTTCTCTGTCTTGCAAAGCAAATTTATAAATACTGCAACTGTCTTATCGCTTGTTTAATTTTATTAAAACGAAGAGTTGTTGAGAGTACATTCGTATATCCCACGCTCACCTTCTTAAACTCTTCGCCGGACTTTGCTTTAAAGTACACTGGTAGTACGCCACAAACAACATTCTCATCATTATTGCAAATATGAAACCGCAAGAGCATAAAGGTAAAGGCTTTATGGCCAAGGTTAAAAGTATCCGCAAGAAAAAGGATCCCAAAGAAACAACTGACGAAAAAAATACGACAACTCGAGAAGAAGAGAGAGCCGATAGTGATTATGGCGATGGTGAAAACAACCGCCTTAGTGTGATTAGCTCAAATAATCGCTACAGTGTTGTTCCTGATATCGAGGTGTTGGTTCAAGAATTGGAGAAGACAAAGAATGAAAAGGAGGCTCTCAAGATAGAGGCCGACAAGATTAAGGAAGAATTGGAGAGTCGCAATCAAACTTTAATCAATGAACTTGAATCGAGCAAACAGGCTGTCGAAAAGCTACAACAATCACGTGATGTGCCCAATAACGTCACTCAAGAAGCCGAGAAACTGAAGACGGAATTACAACAGAAAGATGGTGCTATTCAAGAATTGAATTCTCAGCTAATAGCCACAAAGGAAGAAGTCGAGAAAGTCAAGAAAGAGGTAGCTGAAAGAATTGCTTCTCAAGTTGAACTTGAGGCCAGTCAAGAAGAACTCGAACGGTTAAAGGCTAAACTACAAGATCAAAAGGACATAATTGAAAAGTTTACCTCCGAGCTCGAAGCCAGGAAACTTGAGGTTGAGAAGGTAAAGAGAGAAACTCTCGAACAAAGTCAACGATCTGCGAACTCCGAAATCGAATCGACCAAGGTGACCTTGGAAGTCCAAAAACACGAGATCAACAATCTGAAAACTACACTTGAGCAGCGTGATTCCGAATTGACGGCCACCAAAAAGGAACTGGAAAAGGTCAAAAGCTCAACTCAGAGTGAAATAGCGAGGATCCAAATTGCTTCGGATGCAAGCAAAGAAGTAGCCAACAAGTTGAAAGCCGAGGTTGAAAAGGGCAAGGAGGAGGCGAACAAACTAAGTGCGGAGATTGAAAAAGGAAAGGAGGAAGTTGATAGATTGAAGATCGAAGCTGAAAAAGATCGGACTTCTCTCCGGGAAATTACTGAAAAGAATGCAGGACTGAAGGCTATCATCGAGGAACAAAAACATTCCCTTCTCCTGAACGAAGAAGAAAAGGCTAATATAACGGCAGAATTCGAAAGGGCTCAACTTTCTCTTAAATCGAAAACAAAAGATTTCGAGATTCTAGAAAGTTCTCTCAAGTCAAGTGTCGAAGAAAAGAATAAGATTATCGAAGAGTTGAGGGTTGAATTGACCAAAAGAGAGAGTGAAATCGAGCTTGCCAAGAAATCACTTTCAGAAATGCAATCTATGGAATTGGAATCGCGAAATAATAACACTGAGGTTCAGAATAAGATTATCGGAGAGTTGAGAGCTAAATTAGCGGATAGAGAGAGTGAAAGTGAGCTCACCAAAAAATCCCTTTCAAAAATACAATCCTTGGAATCGGAATTGGAAAAGAATAAAGCTGAAGTTCAACAACTTAACTCGGCACTTCAAAATGCCAACGCCCAGATTAATGAACAACGAAATGCAGCAATTAGTGACAAATTTGAACTTGAAAGACAACTCGCAATCCGTGATCAATCGATGAAACAACAAGCAGGAACGATTGAATCGCTTAACAGGGCTCTCAGCGGTGCTCAGTCTGCGCTTGAATATACAAAAGTGGAATTATCTTCAGTGAAATCCGAGCTCGAATCTATAAGAGCCGAACTACTTTCAAAGAGATCACAGTTGGAATCTTCAAGCGTGGAACTATCTTCGATGAAATCCGAACTTGAGTCCACAAAAGCAGAGCTATCCTCGACGAAATCAGAACTTGAAAATTCGGATCCATCACTTGTCGATGAACTCAGGAGCCAGTTATTAAGCGCAAAGGCAGAGGCAAAGGCAACCGAATGGGATAAGAGTCGTTCAATATCCGAATTGAAACATGAAATCGAGAATAAAGGTGCGCATAATCAAAATTGTCACAAAGTTTTAAGGATGTTAGATGGACGCGTAACCCAATAAATTTATTCATATAGACAAAGACGTGGCCAAGTTACGAGAAGAGCTTGAGAAGATGAGGACAAAAGGTTTCTATTTTTTTTTTTAGTGTTTGGCGAATAGTAAATTTACTTTTTTATTCTTATCATATAATTTTACTTGCAGTTCGTGCTACCGAAAAATCAAATGAGGGATTGAATGCCCAATTAACGGAGTTGCGAAAAGCCCGTGAGAAAGCCGAATCCAATAATAAAAATCGGCCAGCTAAGACAAAGACGGCAAAAGTAAACGTAGTATCCACTGAACCTATATCCACAAAAGACGCAAAAACAACAACCGAAGAACTTCCAGCAACACTACAATCCTCCTCAGAACGCGACAGTGTCGTTGAGCCGACGCAAACGAGAGGTGTAGAGACTACACCTCAGGCTAACGTCCCGGAACCGGGGGTTCACAAGAACGGAGTAATTTCACAACAAAAAGGTGATGGAGACGGCTGGATCACGGTTCAAAAACGAAAGACAAGAACAAGGAACAGTATGGTAATAGCATAATCTTGATTGTCAAGGTGATTTTAAAGTTTATTGTTGATTTTTATTAGACCTTGCTAAACGTCTTTACTTTCATAATAAACCTTAACTTTCCCCGATCTCTCACAATTAATAGAGTTCATCAAAAGACAAACCCACGAGTGTAGTTTCCGAACGAAGCTTGTTGTTAATCAAGGCCATGTGCTTCACCTTATTATTCATTTTCATTTATTATTTATTCCATATGTCCGATGGATTTACTAGACTTAGCATTTTTTTAGATTACTACAAAACTTATTATATTTTTTAAACTGCATTCCGAGATAGTTAATGAAAAAGAAAATTACTTTAGAAACTCCTAATTCGTGTACAGTGTAAATATTCTCTCACGGGCAGAAAAAAATTTTTTTCTTTTTTTTTTTAAAAAAAATCTCCCACTCATTATTTGCACAATTGATTTAAATTTATTATTACTATTATCGTTTCCAGTTCCTTTTCAAGAAAAAAGAACGAAAAAAAACAATACGCTTTTCATCATTATTATTATTATTATTCTATTTTATTCTGTTTTTTTTTTTTTTTTTTTTTTAATACTTCACAATTTAATATTTGTATTATTATTTTAAAGAATGTAAAGAATTTGAAAATCACATCAAATAATTGTAATGACCAAGTATTGCAAGTTTATACAGTATATTAATTAACAGCTTATTCCGATTTCAAATTAAATTGCCGGCAGAGTTGGCTAGATATTATGAATGTACATACAGCATATCGTCGATCCCTTTTTGATTTTCAATTTCGGTAATTTTCATTTATCATGGTATATCTTCGCATCATAATCACCGTATACAGTATGCCCATTTAACACATGACATTACGAAGATGAAATTTATCGAAAATCTTTACTGTTTGATTATCTTGGTGTTTGATCATCTTAGTAAGCAGTGTTTTCGGTTTATGACAAATCTAATTTTAAAGTGATTATATATTAAAATTCACATACTTAAAATGAATACACATTTGCAGCAAGTAATATTATTAACTTAATATATTCACTCTAGTAAAAGGATCTATGTTAATTTCTATACTTCAATAGACAATTTTATAATCGTTAAAAAATCCTTTATATATTTATTATTTATTATCAATAATAATAAAAGTTTTATTTATTATTTTAAACTAACAATCCAATATATAGTATATTTTAGTTATATTCAATAATTTGAATATAACAATTTTAAATTTTATTATACAGTATTTAATATAATTAATTTAAATTTTGAAATCATGTAATAAATTAAATTATTGGATATATATATATATATATTTTTTGAAAAAAATATAAACTTCTTTATAATACTTATTAAATCCTCTTAATTTAAATATCTTGATTTTTGTAAAACAATTGAATCCAATAAAAAAAAGTTTTTTATTAAATAAATAAAATAAAAATTGTTTATTTTTTATAATCCAGATAAAAAACATTTTTTAAAGTTCTTTAAAAATTATTTTTTTTTTAAACCCTTGGTCAGGCCAGTATTGTGTGTTTATTAATCATATGAAAACCGATAGCGATACATAGAGCAATTGCATCATGGCTAAACTAAAAGCTCGTACTGACACACTTATCAACAGCCATCAATT